TCGACACTATAAGAACTCCGAGCTATTCTTCACACTGGGTATGGCAAAGTAATGGAGAGCGTAGGGTCCTCATTCCGCAGTTCAATCCATATGTTGCCATTATGCTATCATCTTATGTGAACTTAGTATGGATGATTGGGGCTCAAGACAGGAAAGCAAACTTGAATGCACAATCACCTTCGACAGCATCTAACGAGATTAAGAAGATGTTAGAGTGTGCTTTTAGATCGTTTATGGATTCTTATTAGAGGAAATTTGACGAAATCATAACTTACTACAATGATGACTGGAAAACTTGCTTTGATAATGGGAATTCATGGTGCGAATTAGACAGCAATCAATTGCTGGTAGGTTTGAAAAAGACAGCCGATGGTAATGACTTAGCTAGTATCGATCTCGCTATTGGAGGAGTTGGTCCTTGGACAAAGCTTTCAGGATAAACAAACTGCCCTTCTTGGGGCATAAACTTAGATGGAAAGAATTCTTGGGCTTATTGTGATAATACTCTCCTCATCAGAGGATTTTTTAGAGAAGCTGGATAGTCGGAGAAGCCGGAAACCAAACCTAATAGTGTGGGCCTGGAGTATGGGAGGAGTGAGGGCCTGGAGTATGGCAATGAGTAGAACAAATTTGTGAGTGGAGGGACCTTAGCATCTATTGCTGATGGTAAATGCTCGAGCCCTACTCCTGGTGTATCATTCTCTGATTGCTATGAACAAGATGTCGTTACATCATTTGATACGACAGGCAATTACGGTTATTGTTAAAGGCCTGGATATTTCTGGTTCGGATTAAGAGCTGGTGGGGATGGTGCAGTTAGGGATCTAGACAAGATCTCTTGCTGCAAACCAACTTATGACTGGCAGAAGTTATCTTGCTGACTTCTACTTGCATTTTAATTAAATACCTTTATTTTAGCTAATGATTAATTTACTTCACTAAGTTATAAATAGATTAATAGCTTTATTTCAATTTAAAGTGAAGCACTTTAAGTTTAAAAATTAACTGTGGGGTTTTGGGGTTTTTGGTTGGACTTGTTGATCTGTTCCTTAAAA